ACCCCATCTACGGCGCCACCTGCGACATTCTGTGCCGATACGCCAGCTGGATCTGGGAACAACGCACCTCCCTGGCTAGGCTCCACAGGGCCTGGGCCAAAGTCACGGAGCGGCTCGTGGGGCGTCCGTCATGGGCAGAGGCTCGCGGGCCCATCGCATCCGTCACGCTCACGCTCTGGCGCATCGGATGGCACATGTACTCCAGCACGACCCTGGTTACCGACCAGGACATGGCGATCAACCTCCTCACCACGTGCCCGAAGGACGTCAGGATGCATCTGGCCGACGGCGTGCAGCGATGGCAGGCTAGGCAGATCGCGGCGCACCATCGCCAGCACGGAGAGGTCAAGCCGTGGGCACGGGCCATGCGGCTCTGCGTGGGCGACGGGCGCGCGGCGATGGCGGAGGGCCCGTCGGCCACCAGCCTGCGCCACCACTGGGCTGCGGTGGCATGGACGCAGCAGGCCCAGCACGACCTTGGGCTGGCGGCGGCGCCGAACTGCAGGGCCTGTGGACATCCATCCGACTCGCCTGGCCACCGTTTCTTCGGCTGCGAGGTACTGGTGCAGCCGCTCACTGAGGAGGAGCAGGACCAGCAGCTGCCGCCCGAGCCGATGCAGGCCGTCCGCACCTTTATGTGCAACAAAGGCCTGCAGGAGGGCGGCAGCTTCGAGAGCGCCGACTTCCAAATGTGCCTGCCCTGCATGCCGCCCTTCGTGCCGCCAGCCGCGGAGCAGGCCGAGGTGAAGTTCTGGGGCCGCTGGCCTAGCCAAGGGGAGGACATGGCCTCTTGCAGCAACGTCGTCTTCACCGATGGCTCTGGCTTTGCGTCCAGCATACCCGAACTGAGGCGCTGCGGTTGGGCCGTCGTGCAGCTATCCCTCCAGGGATTGCCTGTGCGGGCGGCTTTCGGGGCGCTGCCAGGGCCGCTCCAGACGGTCGGGCGCGCGGAGAGGCACGCGCTGCTGCAGGCACTGCGGCTCTTGGGGCCGCAGCTTGAGTTCGTCTTCACCGACCTGCTGTCGCTGGAGAAGGAGCGCAGCCACTGGGGGCAAGAGCTGGAGGAGGCGCGAGCTGCACACGCCACAGTGTGGCGACGGATTCGTGCCCAGCCAGCTCGGCCTGAAGTTAGGTGGATTCCTGCGCATCAGGACATGGATGCATACTTGAACCGAGGCCTCCACCCGCTGCTGTACTCCGGCAACATGTGGGCTGACTGGTTCGCGCGGCAAGGAGCCATGCAGCACACCGTGTCGAAGGTGTACGAGGAGCTCTACAAATTCGAGCTGCAGCACTACAAGAGCCTGGCTAAGTACGTCGGCTGGGCCATGCAGAGGACCATGCACGCAGGACGATGGGATGCGCCCGAGCAGGCAGCCCGCCCGCCAAAGGTGCCTAAGGTGCAGGCGGCCACCGTGGTCAGCCACTCCCTGGTTCGACTGAACGGGACGGCGGTGGTGCTGTGTCGAGCCTGCTGCAGGCAGACCAGCGGGCAGACGGGTCCCACATGGGCGCAGTACGCGCGCTCAGCCTGCGAGGCCAGCCCGTACACCGCGCTGCGGGCCGAGGCCATCATCGAGCACGTCGGTGCGCAGCCCATAGTGGTCTCGGAGGCGGGCGAGTTCGCCATGCAGGCGATCGAGCGTGCGGCGTGCCCTGAAGACTCGGGCCCCAGGCCTGCCGAGCCTGCCCCCTGGGGCTCAGGGGACGTCACCATTGAGATGCAGGGGCACAGGCTGAGGCGCGCTGGGCCCACCATCTACTGCGAGGTTTGCGTGGCGTGGGCGGCGACAGGCTCCTCTATGGCCCTCGCCCTGCCCTGCGCTGGCCCGCCCAGCGCCGAGGGCAAGAACCAGCGGACCTACCTGTCCAACCTCAGGGCGCGGCTCAAGAAGCTGAGCCAAGGGCTGCACCCCAAGACGGGGAAGGTGCTCACCTGGGGAGGCGCTGGCGAGGCTCCAGATGGCCCCAGAGCACGGGCCACAGCAGCGGCCAGCGCGGCCGCGGGCGACATGGCCTCTGAGGGCGACGGCGCTGCAGAGCGGCCAAGCGGCAAGCACGTGCAGACGGTGCAGGGCGAGGCGACCTGGCCCAGCCAGGACCACGAGACGTGCGAGGTGCCCGCAGGTGCTGCTGGCTCCAACGAGGCTCAGACCAAGAAGCCTGCTTGGCGTGTTCGACGGCAGGAGCTTCTGGAACGGATGCAGCAAAGGCAGCAGCACCTGCTCGTCCAACGTTCTGATATGGCCAGCACCAGGGGTGGCAGGGGACCTGCAAAGTGCGGTCCTGAATGCGGCCCCGCCCTGAGTGCTGGCAGGCTTGACAACCCGCAGCGTTCGCGGCCAGGCATGGCCAGTGACGAGGCTGGCAGGAGGCCTGCGAGCTGCGACCCCGTGAGCGGCCCCAGCACAGGCACTGACGGCGACGGCAGCCTGGCCAACAGTGTTCGGCGTAGTGCTACGGCCTGGGCCAGGGGTGGCAGGGGACCTGCAATGTGCTTGCGTGAGTGCGGCCCCGCCCTGAGCCCAGGATGCGACGAGGACCTCGACGGCAAGGGTATGGCCAGTGCCAGGGTTGGCAGGGGACCTGCAAAATGCAGTCCTGAGTGCGGCCCCGCCCTGGGCGCTGGCGGCAGTGGACCCCTGGGAGCGGCTTTGCATGTGGAGGACCAGGGGCAGCCGCCGCTGGCTTCTGGGGAGTTGAGCGGCCCCAGCACGGGCACTGGCAGCGACGGCAGACAGGCCAATTGTGTTCGGCGCAGTGCTACGGCCTGGGCCAGGGGTGGCAGGGGACCTGCAATGTGCGCGCGTGAGTGCGGCCCCGCCCTGAGCCCAGGATGCGACGAGGACCTCGACGGCAAGGGTATGGCCAGTGCCAGGGTTGGCAGGGGACCTGCAAAGTGCAGTCCCGAGTGCGGCCCCGCCCTGGGCACTGGCAGTGGCCCCCTGGGAGCGGCTTCGACTGCGGAGGACCAATGGCAGCCGCCGATGGCGTCGGGGGAGGTGTGCTTACGTGCAACTACGGCTGGTGCCAGGGGTGGCAGGGGACCTGCATTGTGCGGTCCTGTGTGCGGCCCCGCCCTGAGCACCAGCACCCACCCTGTTCGGCGACGGAGTGCGGCCTGGGCCAGGGGTGGCAGGGGACCTGCAATGTGCGATCGTGAGTGCGGCCCCGCCCTGAGCCCAGGAAGCGACGCGGTCACCGACGGCATGTGCGTGGACAGCACCAAGGGCGGCAGGGGACCTGCAAGCGCCGTTCTTGTGGGTGGCCCTGCCCCGTCTGCTGGCAGCGCCGCGGTGGCTCGGCCTGAGCCTGCGCAGCCGAGGCGCAGCGTCGCGCCCAGGCTCGAGCGGCAGGTCGCTGGATGGGCGAGGTACTGGACCCAAGCACCAGAGGTCGGCGAGACGATGGAGTGCTACAGCGAGTGGCTCGACCACTGCGTCGGCTACGTCACGCAGTTCCTGTCCCAGCCGCGCTTCGCCACCAGGCTGCGTGCGCGTGGGATGACGGCCGAGCAGATGGCCGAGGAGATCTGCGAGCGTGCTTGGGGCATTGGCATGCCCGCGAGGCGGGCCTTCTACAGGTGGCGCAACACGTTGACGCGGTCGCAGAGGATCGTGTCCGACTGCATGCGGCGCTACGACTACGTGTGCCTGCGGTCGTGGCTCGCCGAGCTGCAGCGGGCTGGGCAGCCGCCGCCCATTGGCCCGCTCAGAACGTCGTCGGTGCCATGGACTGCGGGGCGCAGGAGACGACGGAGGAGTGGTTGAAGATCGGCCGCTCCCTGCTCGGCCAGCCGCGGCGGGGCGTCTTGCCCCAGCGGCTCGCCGCATGGCGCTGCGGGGCGGCCTGGCCCCAGCGCGCCGCCCTTCGCGCTCGACGTGATCGGCTTCACTGGCCTCCCCTGAGGCTGCGGCCCCCTGGCCGCTCGTGCTGCGTCTAGTTGGCCTGTGCCGACGCGACGCCCTGCCGCTGCTCTCCTCCCTCCTCCTGCCTTTTCCTCCCTCATCCTTCGCATCCTCCTCGTCGTCCTCTTCCTCCTCTTCCTCCTCCTCGTATTCCTCCTCCTCGTCCTCCACCTCATCATCAGCATCAACATCATCATCAGCATCCTCATCCTCTCTCCTTCACCACTTTTCCTTACAGATGTCTCTCTCCTCCCTGTCGCACCCCAAGGAGTGTACGTAGGGCGGGCTGGGCGTTTCGCATGACACTTCCCCACCATGGATGACCATGAAGAAGCAGATGTGAAAGAGCTTCACGTACGGAGAATGGGTCATTTTCATCATGTGATTGTCGCCTCAGCGCCGCGTACATTCGCTTTCAAGAGTTGCTTGAGCTTCACGGGTGGATGGCGGACCGTTTTCAAATTGTGGTTTTCGCATTCACGTTGCGCGCAGTCGTGTGTTTCACGGATGGAGGGCGGGCCGTTTTCGAATTGTGATTCTCGCATTAGCGCTGCGCGCATTCGTTTCAGGAGTTCACAGCAGCGTCGTGTACTCGCAGGATCAACGTCCCAGCAATTGTGTGGTGGCACGATTTCGGATTGTCAGGGCGCATCAGTTTCGTTGATTCGCGGTGTTGAAGTCCCAGAAATGGTCTGCTGGCACGATTCAGTATCGTCAAGACGTGCTAGTAACGGTGAGTCGCGGCGATGAAGTCCCAGGAATCGTGTTCTGCCACAGGTCAGGGATTTCAATCGCGTTTCTTCCAACGGGGCATTTATCCAAGTGAAAACGAATCCTTACATGGGGGTATATGACGAGGGAGCTTGGGGAGGCTTTCTTGCAATATCGTTGATGCGTCTTGGGTTTGCATTGGTCCCTCCCTCTCCTCCTTCTCCTCCTCTTCCTCCTCCTCCTCCTCCTGCTCCTCCTCCTCCTCCCTCCTCCTCCTCCTCCTCCTCCTCCTCCTCCTCCTCCTCCTCCTCCTCCTCCTCCTCCTCCTCCTCCTCCTCCTCCTCCTCCTCCTCCTCCTCCTCCTCCTCTCTGGAGGGGGGCCTCGCGGACACCGCCGCCGGCGCCGGCAGCGCCGAGTTGGAGCTGCTGCGGCTGGCGCGAGTCAGGGCCCCCCCCAAGTGGGCATTTGGCTGCACCAGGACACCGGCGCGCCCGGGAGCGCTGCAGCCGGGGGCGGAAGCATGTTCTGATGGGCCTGTCTTCCACCACCACCAGAAGTTGGAGGGGGAGGGGCTCCTCCTCCTCCTTCTCCTCCTCCTCCTCCTCCTCCTCCCTCCTCCTCCTCTTCTTCGTCCTCCTCCTCCTCCTCCTCCTCCTCCTCCTCCTCTTCGTCCTCCTCCTCCTCCTTCTCCCCTCCAACTTATGGTGGTGGTGGGAAACAGGCCCATCAATGTTCCATCTTGTCTTGGTCGAGCGACCAACACACATGCCCATAGGGGGGACGACGTGGATCATAGGCGCGCGTTGTCGGAGGGGGGTCCCCGCTCGAACAGGGCCTCCCGTGGGGTACGACAGCCCGCACCCATTACCATAGCCAGTCCTCTTCCCTCCGACCCCGCCATGGCTATTGGTGTGTGCTTTTTCGCTCGTCAAGGGGGAGGGATGGGCCTAGGGCCTAGGGGGTGGTGCATCCACGCCCGATCGCGCATTCGTCGCCGATGAAGGGCTCGTTTCGATTTTGCCGATTCGATCCGGTTTGATTTCGATGGCATCAGATTCCGATTCGGCGGCATCTCGGCGGCGAGCGCAGGGGGGATGCGAGGAGCACACGGTCCTGGTCCAGGACCGAAGCTCGTCATGAACTGTGCATCGGGGCCGAAACCGCCCATGAAAGCGCCGCATTGATCGTAGAGGCCACCCATCACGGTGCACTTGTAGTCCAAGATGTGCCGGGACCACATGCGCAAGTGCTCGGCGTGTCGAAGGTCGTTCGGCAGCGAGCGAGGGGGGTGGAATTCCCACAGTCCTGGTCAGCAGTGTCCTGCTTTGGGCGGCCCTGGGCGAGACGAGCCCAGGGCCTCCGGGGCAATGGTCCGCGTGTGCCACGGTCTCTTCCTGGGCAATGCGCATGCTGCCCGAGACTCGAGGGTCGCTAAAGGTGCCCCTGGCCCAATGTGCCCCCAGATTTTCCCTCAACTGTGGAACCCCTGGGCCCTCTGGGCCTCGTGAGCCTCCTTGGAAGTCCTGGGGTAAAATTGGGCCCGGGTCACTTCTTGCAACACGCGAAAGACAGGGAGCGTCTGCGACGGAGCGGTGTCAGCGCTGTCTGCGCGGTTGGCTGCAGGCAGGTCTTTCACGACGACCTGGCGTACCATAGAATCCCGGTCAAGGACGACGGGAGCCAGTCTATGCTCTCGCGCTTGGATTTCGCCTGCGACTTCATCCACCAGCAGCGCGCGAGCGGCGCGGTGCTGGTGCACTGCCAGGGCGGCATATCGAGGTCCCCTGCCGTGGTCATCGCGTACCTGATGAAGCACGAGCAGCTGTCTCTGCCCCAGGCCGCCGAAGTCTGCTGCCTCGCGCGCCCGGCTGCGAGCCCCCGCGGCGTGTTCCTGCAGGACCTCCGGCAGTTTGCGGCGACGCTCCGCGGGGGTCCGCGGCCAGTTCCGGACGATGCGCAGCGACGGGAGGAGGCGGTGCGCACGGTGGGCGTGGAAGCTGATGGCAAATTCTCCACCGCCGCTACCATGTGTAGGACGGGGGAGAATCAAGGGCAACGATAGGGGGGGATAGGCGTGGGAGGGGGATACATCGACCCTCAATCGGCCATTGATCGCCGATAGGATCCCGATGGTCCAGTCGGCCCAGGAAGGTTCGGATTCACGATCGTCGGCCTATCGCCGATCTATCGGTGATGTAACGCCGATTCCACGTCGATGTATCCCCCCTATGCCAGTCCCCCCCTTTCGTTGCCCCTCAGAGAAGGGAGGATGAGGAGGTCCTCCTCCTCTTCCTCCTCCTCCTCCTCCTCCTCCTGCTCCTCCTCCCTCCTCCTCCTCCTCCTCCTCCTCCTCCTCCTCCTCCTCCTCTTCCTCCTCCTCCTCCTCCTCCTCCTCCTCCTCCTCCTCCTCCTCCTCTTCCTTCCTCTCCCAACTATGGCAGTGGTGGTTGAAAATGAGCCCATCAGAAGCGGTGGCGGCCCCGGGAGGCAGGCCTGCGTGGCCTCGTGACGGCCCGGAGGAGCCGCAGCCAGATCTCCCGAGGCGCAGCGTTGGAGAGGCGGCGGGGTGCACCGGGCGAGCGCTGGGGGGCAGTGGCAGCCCTGAGGGGGACAGGCCCGTGGCCTGCCGGCGGGAGGCTCAGGACCGTGGTCTGGGCGCGAATTACTGGGGCGAAAAATGTAGGTCTCCCAGATGGGGTCCGAGCAGATGGGGTCGGAGGTTCGCGCCGTATCGCCGATGCATCGGCGACGCGGTCCGATTCGAAGCCCGATTTTCTCTGCGCTCACGTCGCCGATGCATCGCCGGCGTCGCCAGTGCATCGCCGATGCATCGCCGACCCATCGGCGATGCATTGGCGATGTGGCGCGATCCTTCGACCACATCTACTCGGGCCCTATCTAGGAGGCCTCTCAAAAGGGGTGGAGAAGAATGGTACGATTTTCGAGCCCTAAAGGCCTCCTCTTGGGCCCTAACGCCTAACGGGCCCCTTTTCGGCAGCCCTCGCTGAGCCCCCATGTATCGCCCCCCCCATTTCTCGCAGCCCTTAAGTAGGTAATTAACATCTCCAGCTACCATCACTGCACACCATGGGTGACCGACCTATGGTGGCGGTTTGCCAGGCGCTGTCGGCACTTCGCACAGCAAACCAGTACAGCACCATAGGTCAGCCACCCCTGCTCTATAGTGGTGGGATCATAACGAGGCGTAAGAACATGCTCGGTTGGGGGAGTGAGGGTCCTTGATGCTATTCGTAATTCGTTGTCTTCCACGTTCTTTTGCAACTTGGGGAAGGGTACCCTCGAATGTTCTTCAGCTGACAGTTTCGGCGAGCACCTTCGCATGTTCTTCGGGAAGGGCTCGGGACTGGTAGGCTGAGGGTTGCGGGCCAGACCGAATGCTCAAGGCTTTGAGCTGGGGTTCCACCATGGCTTCATCGATAGGCCAGGCAGCTAGGGTCGGGTGACTCCTCGGAAGGGTCCCTCGGTGGCCTCATGTGTTTGAGGTTTCTGCCGGCGGAGGATCGCAGGTTTTTGTAGCATGTTCTCATGCCTCTGTTCTGATTGTAGTTCGTAGGCGAAAAACATAGCCCTCTCCGCGGCCTCGCGGGCCAGGCCTCTGGGCCGCGACCCTGTGGATACGGGGCGCTCCGGTCGCGCATGCCCCTCTCGAAGCGCATCCCTTGCGACCGCGTACCCGTGGGATCACGCCCAGGAGGCCAGACCGCGGGGGCGCGGGTACGGGTGGTCGGGCGGCTGGTGATGGGGGTGACCTACATGGGGGGTGAAGAACAGTTCCCTGCAGGGGCCCTTTCGCAAGAATGTGGGTTGAAGAGAAAGTCCCCATTCGCGAGGAGTTCGGATCACGGTTCCTCTCTAACCGGCGATTGGGCTGCTGAGGACTGCATTGACCATACGAGCGTTACCCCTTTCTCCGTCGCCCCGGAAACACGGATCGCGTTCGCTGCCTCTCAGCGAGCTTCAAGCCATAACCATAATTTTTGTTCGGAGCTCCGCGCGGAGTTCTCGGATCTGCGCTGGGGCCCCCCTGGCGGCGCCTCCGGCGCCCCGCGCGCCACGGAGGGGTGCCAGCGCCGATCCGAGATCTCTGCGCGGAGCTGAGAGAGGCCCATGCAAGTAGACTTGCTCGAGTCTCGGATCACACCGCCCGGACCTCAGGGCTTGGCACTGTCCGAAGGACGTCGCCCTCCTCTCCGACCAGTGCGCGGGCTTCCGGCGCGGGGCGTCGGCGCCGCGGGGCGACTCCGACGCGTTCTCGCCGCGGGAGGCGTCCGACGACGGTGCGGCGAGCCCCAGCGGCGAGCAGGCCGTGGCCCGCACGTGAGGCCTGGGGTCGCCCCGGCCATCGACACGGAAGGGCCCCTTCCACTGTCGATGGCGTATTGTGGCTCCCCCGAGGAAAGGAGCCCGCGGCGGCCGCGAGCGGCCGCGGGGCGAGGCCACAGGTGCTCACCCGGCTGGCCCTCCCGAGCGCCTTGTCGATGGCGCTGTGTGGTTCCCCCGGGGAAAGGGAGCCCGCGGCGGCTGCGAGCGGCCACGGGGCGAGGCTACAGGTGCTCACCCGGCTGGCCCTCCCGAGCGCCTTCTCCCGGCCTTCCGCGCCCGTGTACAGCGTCGGCGCGCGGCGCGGCCCGTGTACAGCACCTCGCAGACTCGTTGCGCCCAACAGCCCAGCCTGACGAGCGCTGCTTCTCCGTCACCTCGTCCGACATTCCCCCTGCTATCCCGAGGAGGAGGAGGAGGAGGAGAAGGAGGAGGAGGAGGAGGAGGAGGAGGAGGAGGAGCAGTACCACGTTTCCATTGTCGTTCGACATGTCCCTTGATATCCCAAGGAGGAAAGGTGCCGATGCTGCTACGCTTTCCTCGTCACTACGGCTGGATTCGCGCCGAGATCTTGCTCGCAGCGTACCCAGGGAGAGGCCCCCCCCAGGGACGTGGAGTAGCAGCATCGGTATCCCATGTAGCTCACATCTCGGGAGCCTTGGAAGCCAGTTGACAATTCATATGGCTTCAGCTTGGAGCAACTACCAGCACCCAGTCTCTCTCGTGGGGAGTTAGATCCATCACCATGGTGTAGCGCAGGGCATCGCACACCACGGCATGGGCCGATCTTGGCCGGGGGATGGCCTCCTGCTCCTGCTCTGCTCCTGCTCCGTCATCCGTCCTGTCCTCTCCCGCCCCCCCCCTCCTCACTCCTACGCCCGAGCCCCAGGTCATACTGCGACCCGTACAGCATCGACTCGTGGCCATTTGAGCCCAACTCGCTGGCGGCCCGCAACAACCATGAGCCGCAGCTGCAGGAGTCTTCTGCAACTGCGGCCATGGGGAGGAAAGGCGGGAGGAAAGGATGGTGAGCGGATGGCAGCAGGTTTGTGATGCGGAGGCCGGGCGTTTGCAAGGTTGACGATGACACCCTGGCGCAGGCAGCGACCGCGCCGAGTGGCGGAGCAGCAGGCGGTGTGCCTGGGCGGCCACTGGCCACCACGAGGCTCGCACGCCGCAGGGCATGGGTCTGAGGCCTCGCCGCCAGGTGCGCTGGCGCCCGCCCGTCGTCTCGAGAGCGTGGCCCAGGGCCGCCCGTGAGACCCCAGGAACGCGCTGGGGCTGGTCCCCGCCCGCCGTCCCGAACTGGAGCGCCCCGAGGCGCTTTTTTTCGCAGACGGGCGCGCCCTGGGGCTGTCCTCCGACACCGCGGCGTGGCCAGGCGGACGAGCAGGGCGGGAGGGTGAGGGAAGAGGAGGAGAGAAGAGGAGGAGGAGGAGGGAAGGAGGAGGGAAGAGGAGGAGGGAGGAGGAGGAGGAGGAGGAGGAGGAGGAGGAGGAGGAGGAGGAGGAGGGCGGAGCGAATGCCGAACGCACTCCCGGAGAGCAGGCGCAGGTCGTCGGTACCCTAAGATCATGCTCCCTGCCCGAGCCGGGAGGGCGTGTGCGCTGCCCTTGGGCGCCTGGCCAGGGGCTGCAGATTCCCTGAAGTTGGAGGGGGAGGGGGTCCTCCTCCTCCTCCTCCACCTCCTCCATCTCCTCCACCTCCTCCTCCACCTCCTCCTCCTCCTCCTCCTCCTCCTCGTCCTCCTCCTCCCTCCACCCTCCAACTTGTGGTAGTGGCCGAGTGGGAGGCTCGCGACAACGAGCGCGTCAGGCTAGCCTTCAGTCGGGCATGTCCCTCTACACGTGGAATCTTCAAACCAGCCTGAGGACGATGATTCACACTCTTTTCTCACTATTGTTGCAGACGTTTTGACTATGTTTTGATCTTTCTTCCAATGCCCGCCTGTAGGGGGACATGCCCGACCCAAGGCTAGACAGACGAGCTGGCTCGACCCACATCCTGGCGGCCAGCCCTGCGGATTATAGCCGCGGGCCGCCGCTCAGGACGGGTTACAACGTCAGAGAAACACCACGCGTGCAATATTCTTCGATACTCGTTTGGGGGACCTTCCTAGGGCCCACCTAACGGATCTATTCGACTCTACATCGACCCCAGTCCGGCTCAAGTTCGACTCAATTTCGACTCAGGTTCGACGCATGGTCGACCCAAAGCAGCGGACATTTGACGCAGCTTCGACGCACGAGTAGAGTGTCTCCAGAAAGGTCCCGAGAATGAGCGTCCAAATCTTCCCGGGGCTCCCTCGGGGCTTCCCTCGCCGCACGGAGAAAGATCTTGTCGCCCGGCCTGCGCACCTCGCGCTCCCCTCCGCCCCAGCCCTTCTCGCCCCGCCCCTTCGGCACTAACTCACGGAAGCCTCCGCCCGTCTTGGACTGAATGTATCTCGGCGAATAGCGCCGAGCAGCGCCCAGCGGCGCCGACCAGCACTCACACGGCGCCCAATTCCGACCAATAGCGCCCAAAAGCGCCATGCGGGGGAGATGCATCATGCCCGCTCTGCGCGGGATTGGGCGCGGCACTGGGCGCCATGGGGACGACCAAAAGCTTCCGTGAGTTGACTTCTGATTCCCTTCCCTCGTCCCCATCCGCATGCTGCACCGTGGCCTGGCAGCGCGAAGGCGGCCCGGCGCGGCCAGCACAGGCTCGTTTCCCCTCCGGTTTGGGTCATGGGCGCTGCGGCCCGCAGGCCGGAGGAAGAGGGCGGAGCGAGCTCATTCGCCTCGCTGTTGCACCGAACCGTCGGCCGACTCGGAGGGTGCTGCCGCTCTCTTGCCTCGTCTCGTCCGTGCCCTCCGCATCTCCCCGTGCCCCATCCCCTCGCCTCTCGCCTCCCCCCCACCCTCCCCTGGACTCAGGGCGTGGAGAGTGCACGCGCACCTCTCATGCTCGTACCACTGCAGTGCCGTTGCCAGTGCTTGAATTCAGAGAACTTGTTTCTGGGCATTCAAAAAATTGGTTTTTGAGTTCAAGAAGCGTTTTTATTTGAATCCATGAATTCCACCATTGGTTTTGAATTCACGAATTCGGTTTTTTGAATTCAAAAGCCAGTTCTTTGAATTCAAGAAGCAGTCCCCTGGGCTCAGCGTGGAGACTATACGCGTGCACGTCTCGTGCTCGTGCCGCTGCAGGTGCCGGTGCACGCCCTCGCGGGGGGGGGGGGGGGGGGCAGCGCCTCCCGGCCGCACGCAGGGGGAGGGGCGCTGCAGCCTTGGCCGCGGAGGCCCTCCGGAGCCCACGGCTTCGGCTCGGGTCGGGAGCCTTGAGACGGGGGTCAACGCAAACAGGGGTCAGCCAGAGCGCAAGATCTTGCAGGATCCTGCAGGGCCAGGCTCCCATTGACCCGGGTTTGGGTGCAGGATCCCGCATGATCTTGCAGGATTCTCCGCGTTGACCCGGGTTTCGGTGCAGGGTCTTGCAGGATCTTGCAGGATTCTGAAAGCCCTGGCTGACCCAGGTCTGGTCTGACCCGGGTCGGGAGATACCCGATCGGGGTCGGAGCGGCCAGCCCCTTCGGAGGTGGATAGACCTCCTAACATGACACGTGGATTGAGGAATTTGCCGTCTTCGGCTCGCGAGAGAGGGCGTCGCGGCCGTCATTTTGGCGGGTCCAGGTCCGTCGGTTCCGGTCCCAGGCCGTTTTCACTAAGGGGAGGTTTACGAAAGGGAGGTTTGTCCACCGCCGACCTCTGGCCTGTCATCATCAACCACGTCCCAGTCCGCCCAGGCTTCCCAGGGCTCGTCTCGATTCCTCCGATTCGATTCGGTTCAACTTCGACGGATTCCGATGCCGCTTCGAGTCGCCTTCTCATTCCGATCTGGGCTCCGGTTTCTCGATGAGGCATTACTGCTCTGCCGATTTCCGCCGATTGGACTCCTCCCGACTTGGCTGCCGATTTCCGCCGATCCGGCGAATTTCGATCGTGGATTCGACTTGTGGATTCGATTCTGTACTCTCCTGCTCTCCCCACCAGGCCTCCCCTCCCCCCTCCCCCCCATCCTCCGCCGCCCCTGCTGGTCCGTACCGGGTGGGCTTGGTGCCCCATAGCAAAAGCTCGGGTTCAGGGCTGGGTACCCCTCCTCGCACTGAGGGGTTGGCGCGCGGGATGCGCCTAGCGCACGCCCGAGCGACCGACCGCCTCAATGCCCGATTCGACCGACCGACCCCCCTCCCCCCCAGGTCTCCGCAGGGGCGCTCGGCGAGAGGGTAGCTGGGCTCTCCTGGCGCCAGCGCGGCCCTGGGCCGCAGAAGTCTAGCCTCTTCCAGGAAAAGGGCGGCCCCGAGAATCTGAATCTTCATGGCGCCCGGCCCCTATCAGACGAGCATGGGTGTGTGTGCGCGTGCGCGTGTGTGACCAAACATCTATGGGTGACGTGTGACCGAACACGTACCCGAAATTGTGACCGAACACGTCGCGCGTGACGAGACTGCGACCGAACTTACTATCGCATTGGTTTCGAACCAAGCATTTCGGTCACGCTCGGGCGCGGTCGGAAAACTCTGGGCGCCTGTTTCGGTCACACTCGGTGGATTTTGGGGTACCGCTTCGGTCACTGCACCCCCCTCACAGCGACGGTGCTTCGTGAGAGTCTGGTTGGTGAGCAGTTCTGGCCTGCAGATGGGCCGCCCGCCTCGTCCGCGGCCTCGCCCCTCCACTTCTTCCTCCCGCTCCCCCTATCCCAGTTCTCGGAACGAGGATGGGGTAACGGGAGGAAGAAGTGGATGGGGCGAGGGCGAGGACGAGGATGGGGGGGAGCGGGAGGACAGAGTGGGAGGGGGAGGAACGGGACGAGCGCCGAGGGAGCGGCAGGAAGAGCGGGGGGGGGAGGACGCTCCTCCGGCCTGCTCCCCCCGCTCCGCCCTCCCTCCTCTCCCGCACCCGACGTCGACCCCCCGGGGCCCCAGACTGCCCAGAACTCCGAGTGCGGACCCGCGGGCCGCTGCGTAGAGAGACCTCTCCGCCATGCGTGGTCTCGTGCCCCCCGTTGGAGGGGCCCCCACGGTGCCGCAGGCGGGGGTTCACGGCAACACGGGGGCAGATGGACTGGTGGAGGAGCCCGAGCCCCCCGTTCCAGCTGCGCTTCGGTCGGGCCTGTCCCTCGACAGGAGGAATTAGCCCAAAGCAGTCAAGACATCGCCTGGGGAAGATCTGCCTTTTTGGTATTATTTTTGTTTACTTTTTGCTTTACTTGTTATGCTTTCCGCCCAAGGTCCGCCTGTAGGGGGACGTGCCCCAACCTGAATGAAGCTGGGCCCCGGGTCTGCGGAGCCTCGAGGGCCTCCCAGAGGCTCAAAGGGGGCCAGCGGTCGATCGAACCACCCCCACCCCACGAGGTGGACCAGGTCGGTCCACGAGCTGCCCCTCTCTCCCTCGGGTTCGTTCCCGAACGATTTAGGTCGGGCGTGTCCCCTCGCAGGCGGATTTTGGGCGAACCATCTTCAAAACTAGTCAGAAACAGTCAAAAAGTCGTCCCCTCAGTATTGTTTAAACTATGTTTGAATATCTCTCCTGTGGAAGGAAAGGCCCGACTTAACGCCAGATGGTATGCTGCTGTGGGCTGCCACCTGGAAGCGACGACGAGGGCGGATAGCCCAGCGGCGGGCACTACATAAGGGCGACCTCGTCCCCGTCATCCGCTTCCTCCGCTTCCTCGTCATCCGCCTCTCCTCCCTCGCCCTCCCTCGTCCTCCCTCCGAGGGAGGATGAGGGAGCACGAGGAGGAGAGGACGAGGGGAGGAGAGGGGAGGAAGACGAGGGAGGACGCGGGAAGCGAGGGGAGGAGCACGAGGGCGCCCCTCGCCCTCCTGCTCTCCTCCTCTCCCCCTCCTCCGCTCCTCCTCCTCGCCCTCCCGCATTCCTTGGGCCTCCCGCGGCCCTCCCCTCGAGGCGAGCCCCCCCCCCCCCCAGGAGTGGGCGGAGGGCGCCGCGGGCGAGGAGGAGCTCGGCTCCGAGTCCGAGCCCTACGACGACGACGGCGCCGGCTCCGACCCAGGCCTCCCTCTCGGCGGGGCGCCTCCCCGGTGGCGCGGGGGGAGAGGGAGCCCGGGCCCTCTCGCGAGTCATGGAAAAATCCTCCTCCTCCTCCTCCTCCTCCTCCTCCTCCTCCTCCTCCTCGCTCCTCCTCCTCGCTCTCCTCCTCCTCCTCCTCCTCCTCCTCCTCCTCGCTCCTCCTCCTCCTCGCTCCTCCTCCTCGTCGTCGTCCTCCTCCTCCTCCTCCTCCTCGCTCCCAGTAGCCATTTTGGCTCAAGATGATGAGTTCCGCAGGGGAACAAGTGGATACCGCTAGTCCGCGGCTGGCAAGACTTCTCGAGGTCTGGCATCTTCTTCGGTCCACCTCACTTGCGCTCGGGTCGGCGGGTAAACGGAGGCCTTTCCCGTTCCTGCCGGCCCGAGCGCACCCAGATTCGTGGCCATGGGCCCTGCGAGGGACGGCACGCAGGCTGGCGACGGTGGTGCTGCTGGCGCTACTGGGCGGACTGGTGGCAGCGACAGGTCGTCGAGTCGGAGCGATGCATCGGACGCCGAGCGGTCTGCATCCCGCAGTGGAGAAGGAGCTCGGCGCCGCCGTCGCAGACAGCATAGAGAACGTGAGCGAGGGCGGGATCACTTACATGAGCGTGACCCATGGCGTCAAGGGAGTGGTCGTGGAGGCAGGAGCAGCACGGAGGGGGCTCGCCCACCTGGTGCAGATGCGGCTGCCCCTGCTGCGCCCGCGCCTGTGGGAGGAGGAATTCCTGCACTGGCTTCCACCGCAGGGCTGCCCGCCAGCGTGGCGCAGGAGCTGGAGCGGATCCTGGTCGAGGCGACGGCCAACCTCTACGCGACGACGTCGGCGGCCCAGGCGCAGATGGCCACGGTCGTCGCCACCCACGCCCAGGAGTGCTCGGCCCGCTTCGCTGTGGTCGACGCGGACGTCGCCCGCTTGCGGGAACGTCAGCACAGGCTCGAGGCGTCCAACGAGGAGCTGCGCGGCGCTGTTCAGAGCATCACGGAGGCCCTGGAACGCGCGGAGGCTCAGGTACCACTATTTCAGGCAGCGAGGCAGGAGATGTGGGACAGACCCGCGGCTCCGAACCTCTTCCAGATCCAGGTCGAGTCGGGCGTCACGAGCGCGGAGATCATCGTTGGTATTGAGGACTGGCTCAAGGCTGCCATGGTGTCGAGTGGTCAGTACGCGCTCCACTCCCTCCCTTCTGGGAAACACTACGTGCTGGAGCTCACGGGCGGCGTGGTGGGCTACGAGCGCGCCAAGAGGCTGGCCGCACACCTCCGCACGCCGAGCGGCTGGAGGAGCTTCACGGCTGGCGGCCGCAGGATGTACATCAACATGGACAAGTCCAAGCGCTCCCTGCGGGTGGAGCTGCACACCAAGCGCCTTGGCCAGGCTCTGGAGGAAGTACGTGGAGGTGCTGGGCGCTGGTGGCCAAACAAAGCGAAGGGGGAGGTCAAGTTTGACAACGTTGAAGTGGCCAGCGTTCTGGTCACGGAGGAGGATGCCCCCACGGAGCTGCGGTGGAACAACCCGATGGTGGCAAAGTTGGGCATCGACAAGAGCAAAGTGCAGGAGGTGTTCAATCGCATGGTCGGCGGTGGGTCCAGAGAGGTACAGTGGTGTCCCTAACACTTGTTCTGCGCGTTGGCGCCCGTGGCAGTACCAATATGATGAAGTATTCAACAGTCCTTTGAAGGTCATCTCGTGGAATGCACGCGGTCTGCTTCTACGGGATCCTACGCGTAGACGTCGCAAGTTGGCAATCTTGCGGTCATATATGGCGAAGAAGTATGTGATTCTGGTGCAGGAGACGCACGGTGCGGCGGTCATTTTGGAGGCGTTTGTGCGCTCGCAGCCCTTCTCTTACAAGACCCACTTCTCTGCTCTCCGCGAAGGGCGTGGGGGCGGCGTGGCTACGTTGATCCCATCTTCAGAGCTGCATGAATGGGAGGAGCTGCATCCATCGTGGCACCCAGTCTCGACGACTACGGAGCTGGTTCCTGGACGAGTGCTAATGGTGAAGGTCAGTGTGGTGGTGCGGAAGCCTGACTCGGTGACGCACCTGCCTGCAGAGGCTGACGAGTGCCGTGTCGGAGTCACCCTCATCAACGTGCACAACCACGACCTCAGCGCTGAAGACAAGTCGAGAGTGGCGACAGCATGGCGGAGGGCGATGAGGGAGGCGCGCAGGTCCCCAATGCAGGAGCTCTGCGTTGCTGGCGGCGACTTCAACCTACCAGTGGGTGATCGGCGCTACTATCGCATGCCGACGCCGACGGCGATGAGGTCCCCCGTGCGTGACCACCAGGCCAGATCCTTCTGGCGTGACCTATTCGATGAGTGCGTGGAGATTAACGGCAAGGACGCCACGCACTATGACAGGCACTCGGACTCCGCCTCCACGCTGGATCGCTTCTTCACCAGCCTGCCGAGGGACGCGTATCCCTGCCTCCGTGCTACCCGCACGGTCGACGCGGACCCTGCGACGCTGGCGCTGCGCAGGCTGGGTGATCACGGAGTTGTGGGGCTCGTGCTGGGTCTCCGCAAAGAAAGGCCGATGGCGGAGAGGAGGATCCCCGCCTTTGTTTTCAAATCGCAACAGTATCCAAAGTATTTCAAGGATCTGCACGCCGCCGAACAGGAATTGCTTCGCAGTCGGGGAACTGATGGAGATGTTCATGAGGAGTGGGCTGCTGCCAAGCGGGCCATGGTTTCGGCGGCGAAGGCCACGAGGAACCACATGATTGCGCTCGCCGACCTGCAGAACGTCTCGCAGGGCGCGGAGCTCAACGCCCTGGTGATGCGCTCGGCGGCCAGGACGATCTGGACGAACGACGGCACCACGGCGCGCCTGCTGATCCAGTCCTCTCCTCTGGCTCGGAGGCACCTGCGCATCCAAGATGGCAAGGTGCTGGCGAGCGACACCCTGGTTTTCGGGGAAGTCGTGCGTGCCACCACGGAGCGCATGCTGGATGAGCGACGTCAGGACGCTGCGAGACGTGCCCGCCGCGCCTTTGCGACGGCGCAGGCTCAGGAGGGTGAGTACTGGAAGCGGAAGCAGGGCAGCATAGTGAAGAAGGCCCAACTATGGCTTCGCAAGCTGCCCGTTTGGCAGCTGAGCGGCGTCAAGGTGTGTGCGACGGAAGAGCTCCCTGCCCCGCCTGTGACGGGGAGCGTCTCCGAGCGGCCCTCAGATGTCACGGTGAAGAACGCCGATGCTATGCTGGCCGCAGTGCGCGAGCACTGGGGCCCCATCTTCAGGAAGAAAGACATCGACGAGGAGGCGGCGAGGGAGTACATCGAGCAGTGGTTCGAGCCCGCTAGTGCACGTGAGGACTTTGCATTCAGCGAGGAGGATCTACTACGAGCAGCTCTGCGTGGACGTGAGGTGGCCCCTGGACCTGACAGGCTGCCCTACGTCGCCTGGGCGCGGTCGCCCGCAGCGGTGGCCTGGCTGTACCGGCTGTGCCAGGAGGCGCTCGCGGGGTTGGGCTTCCCCGACGACTTCAACCACGGGCTGCTGGTCCTGATCCCGAAGAGCGGGGAGGCGTACAGCGCGTCGGAGGTGGTGCGTCGGCCTGGTGCGCTTAGGCCGCTCATGCTGCTCAACACGGACAGGAAGATGATCGCGACCGTGGTCAACCATGAACTAGCTGGAGTGGCGAGGAAGGAGGCATCGGCGGTCCAGCATGGGTTCGTCCGTGGCAGGACGTTCATTCCGAACATCATCAAGCTGGACCTGATGGCGCGCACATTCAGTGCGCTCAGTGAGACGGAAGGAGGGCACCCTGCGCTGATCACGTTCGACGTGAAGGCGGCGTTCCCCAGCGTCAGCCGCCTCTGGATGGCGCTGGTCCTGGACAAGTGCGGCCTCTGCGACTCCGTGAGGACTCTGATCGGCGCCATGTACGACAAGCAGACGGCATGGCTGCGGGTAGGCGAGGACTTGCTGGAGGCTTTCGCGGTCACAGCAGGTGTGGCGCAAGGCTGCCCGATGTCGGGCTCACTTTGGGCGTTGCTCTTCTCGCCCTTCCTTGAGCACATGGCCTCCGTCCTGGACATGCCGTGGCGGCAGGAATCCTGGAAGCCAGAGCTGCCCATAGTGCAACGCAAGGGCGACGTGGAGGGCTGCGCAGATGACGTGGGGATGGTGCTCCGCGACCTGTCCCTGCTGCCGCAGATCGGCCCGATCTTCAAAGCGATGCAGATGCTGGCGTGCCTGGAGCTCAACCTGTCCAAGTGCTTCCTGGTGCCGCTCTGGGCGCCGATTACGGAGGAGATCGTGGTCTTCGTGAAGAGCGTGCTCGAGGCGAGCATCGCGGGCTGGTCAGGCTTCTCGGTCGCCTCCATGACGAAGTACTTGGGCTGCTGGCTGGGGCCTGGCGCCGACCTCGCCAGACAGTGGCGCGACCCTGGGGCCAAGTATGCGGCGAGGACGAGGGCGCTGGGTGCCAGTGCCCTTTCCAACGATGCAGTGGTCCAGGCGTACAATGGGCTAGCGATCCCGTGCCTGCTCTATGTCGCCATGCTCTTCCCGATCCCCGACGGGCTCGTGGACAAGGAGCTGGACTTGCTGCACGTGCTGCTGCGCGTACCACCGAAGTCGTTCAGGAAGGACTGCCTCCTGGCGTTGGGCCCCTCCCTGGACGTCACGGCGCCACTCTCCCTCTTCGCTTCGGCGATGGCGGCGAGGCTGAGGGCGGCGATCAAGCTGCCGACGGAGTGGCTCGCCCTGCTCGAGAGCGTCGAGGACTTCTTCACAGACGTGCGGGGAGAGGCGCTGTGCAGGCTTGCGGACCTGCCGACGGGCCTCTTCACGCCGGCGTGGTGGCAGGACCGCCGTGGGCCTGCGCGCCACCTCAGGGACGCCATGAGGTGCTGTACGCCGACCAGCAGGCCCAGGAACCGCCGTCGGACAGAGGCCTGTCTGCGCGCCGCGAAGAGGCGCGCGCTGGCTGCGGAGGCTGCGTGGCTGGCGCAGCCCCATCGTGAGAGGAGGA